ATACATGTAATTCCAGCAGATTTGACTAATGCTCATCGCGCCGCCCTCGACTTCGTCGAGACTGCGCGTTTAATATGACAAGTTTGCTTAAAAACGAAAGAGGGGCGAAACGTGATGAAGTGCACACGTACCAAAGCCTGCATCAGCTCCTGCTCGCGTTGCTGTAGCTGCTGCACCTGTTCTCGCAAATACCTCATCTCGTTATTTGGACCGCTCATTCCGTTTTGACGCTGTCGGAAAGACCTGTTCTCAGCTTCAATTTTCTGAAGACGTTGTTCTGCTACGAGAGCCCGTTGTGTCAGCTTATCATGGTCGTCCTGAAGGACCTGGAGCTGATTGCGCCGCAAAGGTGACTCAGGGGGTAGTGATTGTTTCGTTGCACCGCGAGAAGAAGGCGATGAGCTGATCACTGGAAGCAAGCGTGAGGTGGACACAACGGACGCTAGACTAGGCTGTCGTAAGAACTGATTAGCAGATTGATTCGACATCGGGCCAGCAAGTTGTAGCCGAAGGCGAAGTGCATGATTCTCAGTTCGAAGTACATGGTTTTCATGCCGCAGATTGTTTAGTTCCAACTCAATGGGGTCCACTTGAACCACCGGCTTGTTGCGAATATTCTTGGCTCTGGTAGCATAGTTCAGCGTGCTAAGTGTGTCCTCCAGTGCTACCGCCGACGGAGATACACATGCAATCATAAGGGTCAAGCTCTGACCACCAAGTGAATCCATCAATAGTTTAGTTAGCTTGCTGTCGCGGTATGGGATAAAACTACCAACGCTCGCTGCACCGGCATTTCCTCCTGTTGATGATATTGCCAATGCTGAGATAACCTTTCCCAAGGTGAGAAGACTGCGGTTGATATTGCTAGTTTCTTCGGCATTACTGGACTTTGTCTCCTTTAGTCGTTCACTACCAGCAAGATCCACAAAACTTATTTTCCCGTACCGGGTGATGCCATTACTTTTCCCGCTGTCCGAGTCGCGCGTCTCAGTTCGATCCACATGGACAGTTAGCAGCGAATGACTGCGGCTTGAATCGGCGTTTGTCTTATGTGATGCCACGCGACGATTTCGATGACCCTCGGCGACAACAGCTAGCACATCAGAAAGCGAGTCACAGCGCACGACAAGAAGGTCCTGGACGTAGAAGCCGACGCGTGCGTTCCATCGCACGTTCAGTCCCCCTGATCCCGGGTTGAGTAGGTCGAACACTTGTTCATTGTAAATTTCACAGTACGACGCACGAACGACAGTCTTCACGTCGATTGATGCTTGCTCCAAAAGAGAGAAGAGGTGTTTAAGTGCTCGCGGGATCAGCCCATCCGATAGATCCATTGCGTTGGAGTCTTTTCGATCATTTCGTAATGCTGCACCTACTGAAAGCTCGTCGAGGCCCGACATACTGAAAGTTTTGCCTGACCCAGTTTGGCCATAAGCAAAGACTGTTGCAAAATACCCTTCC